TCGGGAGTCGGAACCTTCTTTGTGCATTTGGATGAGCTTGAAGATACAGGGCTCACATACACGGGGCTCGTGTAATCAGACTCGGGAGTAGGAGCCTTCTTAGTGCACGAAGTTGAAGTTGTTGAGCTTACATCGTCATCGACATTAATTGGAGTCGTAGTGCAGGGAGTCGACGAGGGAGTCACGGTGTTGTCATATTCAACGTTGTGATGATGATGTTTCTTTTTGCACTTGGTTGAAGTTACAGTGTTGTCGTAATCAACGTCGGCTGGAGTTGTAGTCGTGGTGCACGGAGTCGATGAGGTGGTCACGGTGTTGTCGTAGTCAACATTATGATGATGATGCTTCTTTTTGCACTTGGTCGAAGTTACAGTATTGTCATAATCGACATCAGTTGGGGTTGTATCATTATTTTCATAGTCAACATTATGATGATGATGCTTCTTTTTGCATTTGGTCGAAGTTACAGTGTTGTGATCGACGTAGGTTGGGCTCGTATTATCATAATTCACAGCTGGACTCTTTGTGCATGGGGGATTATCAAATCTCTTTTCGAAACGATACCCGTGGACGTGCACAGTAGGAGTGCAAGTGACCGTAGTAGTTCTAAATCGACTTTTTCCGACACACCACCTTCTTTCGTCATCTTTGTCAGAGTCCCACTTAAAGTCAAAATTGTCAGCATGATCGCGACAAAGAATTAGGTCCTTTAAATCGGATTCATGGTACTTCCCTTCGTGAAGGGTTAGTGTTTCGGTTGAGGTTTCTGTTTGAGTACTAGTAAAGACGCATGATGGTTTTTTTCTGAAGAAATAAGCGTCTGAGTCTGGTGTTAGCAGGGCTAATGCCAAGATAAGGGAAAGGTATGTGACCCTGACCATCTGAAGAATATTTTATTATGTATATATTGAAATTCTAGGGAGTAGATGTTAAAAGAGAGTGGCTGATATCTAAGGGAACGGATGCATTCATGAGAATGTTAAATTAATTCCACCCGAATTAATTATTTATTCTCGCGAATGGAATTTGGTGAATGGGGGGAATGGGAGTGAAGAGAGACAAAAATTCATGGCTCAAATGATGAAGGTATATATAGTGAATTGTTCTCCATTCGCTCGTTGTACTAATTATTTTTCTTTGTGCATTTTCGTAACATTGCCCGGAAAATTCGATGTGAAATTTGAAAGTATGTTACTATTTTATTATATTATTTGTTTTTATTAGTAAAATTAAATCTTTTCTTTTGGCACAAGAATTTTCGTTTGAGAATCTGGAATGACAAAGGATTGGTATACGTAGGCATCTACGAGTGTTACCTGAAACATGTATGCGCGTAAAAGTCCAAGGCAATTTCCGCACGAATCAACATCAAGAGTAAATATGACTTATAATATATTTTCAGAAATATTTAATTCGCAAAAAAAAAGATTCGTAAGGTACCCAGGTGTCATACAGAGAACTTATATGCATATGACCTGTGATGTAAGATTTTTTATTTTTCATTTTTTATTTATTTATTTTTTTTTTTTTGGTCGTATCACACGAGTAACCTGTCATGCGAATTCGGCATCCAAGACGAATCGCACCTCCAACTCGATAATTAATAGCATAACGGATAAGGAAATAGGTTTGCTCGTACGACAAAACAAAATAATTTTTGTGACCGTAAAATAAGTTACATGCGTATTGGGAATTTAACACGCAATAAAAATCACTTCTTTATTAGGAAATCAGACTTTACCAATATTAGGAAAAAAGAAAACTTCCACAATTACAAAAATCAACCAAGTTCATAAGAAAAAAAGAATTATTTTTCAAATAAAAATTTATTATCGCCAATTCCATGAGCGCCTCTTTCGCGAGTAAATTGAATTCCGAAACCCCTTGTTGCATATGCATACGGGAAATTTATTAATTAAAAACAACTTTAATTAGATTACGAGGTGACTGTATGCAGGAGAGTCTTTTGCTCATACAATTGGATTGCCCAAAAAATAAATTAAAAATAGGATGAACAGGCAGGCGCAAAGCATGTTAGACAGCACGGTTTATGTGATTGTTCGAGATAAGATAATTTTTATCGTGTAGCCTTCCGTCCTTTGTCTCACCATTTTGATCTCACAAACCATCAAACGAGGCGTTAAATTAGTATTACGTTACATCATCCGTTAACGAATTTCACTTGTACAAATTAAATTTTCAATGAAATGCATAAATAATCGACACTTAATTAACGTTAAATATGCCCCGAGAGCTGTCGGGTTCGCGCTCATCCATACCAATCATGAAAAAGCCTTTTGCATTCTAACTCGAAAAGCGACCAAGATTTTTTCTTTGACTAGAATAATAACTCCTGAATTAATTAATAATATTGCGTACATGCTTGCATGGACAGAAGGCATAGAAACATCTTTTTAGACTTGCGAATGTGGTGATTGCTGACAAAAAAAAGATTTTCCAACCGGTGATAATTAATTTATGAATGCTTATGGATAATTCGCCCACAACGAGGGTTTGAAAACACAAATAAATAGAATACAAAGAATAAGTGAAACATTAGCACATCTATGAGATTACCTTCGGAGGAAAGAGAATTAATTATCCAACATCAGACCTGCGATATTGGATTAGATTTCTTAATTACTGTAACTCCTATTTGAATATTTATAATAAAATAAAAAACATTATTCTAAAATCAATATTTTATTTTCCAAGTTCGTTAAAATTTATTGAAATATTTAACTTCTTCTAATATTCACAAGAAAAGTTTGATACTTATTTGTTTGACCAGCAAATTCATAAATTTTGCTGGCAAAATTTAATACATCGCTTGAAATTACAATATTCAACGGACTATATACGGTAAATAAAGTCTTATATCTATGCGTATCAAAGATGAATGGATCACCATTTTCTATTATTATTTAATTTAATCAAAACTTTGATATTATCAATTACGTTACAAAACAAATATATTCAAAGTTAATAGTTGCAATAATTAATAATTATAATTTAAATCATCAAAGTTAAAAATATTCACAGAAAACATTTTATTTTAAAGCATCAAGGTTAAAAAATATTTACAAAAAATATAACTTCTGAAATTACATACGATATGTAAATTAAATTTTCAAAAAGATTTTTTTAATTAAAATTCAAAAAATTGGTTATAATATTGCATATTAATACTTTTTATATAACTCATTTTAATTTTATTAAATAAACTTAATTACCAGTATAAAATTTTTATAAAAATTTAAAATCATAAAATTATCAAAAAAATTGCAAAAGTTAAATTATTAATAGACTTACTTATTTTTACTAGCATAAAGTCTTGGTTATGCTCTAGGTTTAGTTATTTGAGTTTTATTATTTAAATTTTTCTATTTTTATATAAAAAATAGGTTTTTAAGCAAAAAAAAAATACTTTTTAAATATATTTTAATTGATTTAAGATAATAAAAAGGTTAGAATTATGTTTTAAATTTAATTTTAATAAATTAATTAAAATTTAATATAAATTAATTTATATTAAATTTTAATTCTAATAAAATAATTTATATTAAATTTTAATTTTAATTCTAATAAAATAATTTATATTAAATTTTAATTTTATTAAATAATTTATAGTGTGTATAAAAAAAAATTAAACAAAATTCATTTGACATAATTTAATTTATTTCTGTCAATTTTAGTTAAACCTGAAAAAAGTTTAATGAAAATTGATCATTAGGCAAATAATCAAATGCCAGTATTTTTTTTTTCTACTTCATTTATTGTTTTTTTTTTTAAATATCTTACACTGTACTACCTTCCAAACAACAATTGCAATGCAAAACTGTCTTATATTACTGGAATAAGGGATATGTAATATGGCTGAAATATAGTACTGAACAAACATACTATGCTCTATAATTTATAATATAATAAAAAAATTAAAAAAAAACAAAAAAAATAAGGTATACAGGTAATAATAGTCAGTTATAAAAAATTACAAAAAGATTTTCAATAGTTTTGAGGTAATATATTTATTACGATTTGTCATTATCTTTGAGAACTTTGGTAATAAAATTGGAAAACATCGAAAAAAAAGTTTCTATCAAGACTATTTAGAAGTATTTAAAAAATCTTAAGTATCAAAAAAAGCTTTTTTTAATGATGTCAATGCTAAGTAATCAACAAAAAAAAATATGTAAAATAAGCTCAAAAACACATTGACAATAATTAAACCAAAACCATTTTTACTGATGAAATAGTTTTTTGTTTGTTTTAATCTAAAATCAAGAAGATACTAGGAAAGAAGTGATATCCCAATAGGATAATAATCCAAAGTATATGTGCAAACTTGCTAAAAAATTTATTGCTGAAAATACAGTATTTAAATTGATTTTAAAACAGTAAAAAGTCCAATCTATATTTTAAAATTAGTTTTTAGATTTTATTATATTTTTAATTTTTTTTAAATTTTCATATTAAAAATAGTTTTTATATAAAATATATATATATATATTTAATTAATTTTAGGATAGTAAAAGGATTTAGGTAAAAAAAAAAAAAAAAAAACTCTTTCCGCTGATTCTCCTTTTTCCTAAAAATTTCCTTTTCTGGCAATTTTTTGAAAAAGCAAACCTGGTCAAACACACAAGAAAAAACAATATATCTTTCAAACCAAGCTATCAAGCTTTGGCAACACACATACAACAAGCCCTTTAAAAACATCAAGAAAAGAGGTATACATTGTTTTACTAATTTTTTTTTACTTCTTTTTCTTAAAATTTTTAGGAGAAAGAAAAGATACTGGTAAACTGATTCACAGTCAGAAAAAGGGAGC